AATTCACCGCATTTGCCAGATATACATTCAACCATCCTTACGATACCCCGTGGAGACGAATCCACACCGTACCTGAGAGGGATTCATCAAAGCCGACATTTCACCGTCTATTTATATTAAGTTAAACTTATTTTCACCAATATAAACGCCTCTATCCAGCAGTAAAATTGAGTCTTATTTTAGCACTATGAACTAACTTGTCAATAAAAGTGAATAATCAGGAAAAAAAAACTCGCCGGTACTACAGATTAGTTAAAGATTCGCACGATTTACTTGCGAGATGATTGAGCTGATTCGACTAAGTTCAGTGCTTCAACTGATATGTTAATTCAACGTTTCTATCACCTAGATTATTGTCTCCTTTGCAGTCTAATCAACATTACTATTTTGTTTAGTATTGTCGTTTTATAATTATTACCGGAATGACCTATAACGGGGGCAGGTTTTGAGTAATGACAATTAGAGGAGGCATGTGCAAGATCACCTATATCACCTGTATCACCTGTAGTCGCGTTGATCGTCCGGTGAGTCGAGCGGGCCGGGCGCCAATAAATCTTCCATTTTTCCTTGTCGCGTGCAAGAGTAGGCCCGTGGGTTCTGCTCGCTCTAGGAACTCGTTGAGCATCATATCTTCCTTTAAGGCCCTTCGTGAAGAACTCTGACCAACGCCTTGGTGGTCTTCCTACAGTGCGTTTGACATCCCCACGAATCCAGTCACTAACGGCTCTAGTCCATCGGTAGCCATTCACACGCATTACATGTCCGGCCAATCTTATCTTCGACTATTTGGCGTACAGAACGGCGCCTTTGATTTCTGATCGTTGACGCAGGTCGGAGCTTCGGATCCGAACCCATACTTGTGTGGAACGGGATACTACTAGCATCGTCCTTTCAACTGCGCGTTCGATAACGGTGAGTGACCCTTTCATTCTGCTTACGCAGCGACCAGGTTTCTGACGCATACGTTATGGCAGGAAGTACCGTTTAGCCGAAAATGTCGGCGCGTAGTCGGGTATTCTTTGTTTTCCTTACTACATCCTCGATGCCCTTGAAAGCTCCTCAAGCTGTTCGTTTCCTTCTGTTTAGCTCTGGAGCTTAGTCGTTCATCATGTTGATTTCACGGCCTAGATAGACATCACTGTAGCACTCTGAGATTCTCGTTCCGTTGAGCGTGATTTGGGTATACGAAACCAATCCGCTCCTCATGAGCATTGTTTTTTTTTTGAGATTTAGTCGAAGACCAATCTTTCCACAGGCTGTGCCAAAATCGGCAAGCATTCGTTCCGCTTGCAAATGTTCAATCTTGTAAGAACGATGTTATCAGCAAAGCAAAAATGGTGTAATTGCGGTCTATCGATTTTAACTCCTGTGTTATCCCACTCCAAAGTTCGCACGACGTTCTCGAGGGTGGTAAATAATTTTGGCGAGATGGGAACTTCTCGGCTGACCCGCCTTTGACGTCGCCTTTAATATCGTTGTAGAACGGTGGTATCTTGATTGTAAAATTTTTGTACAGGTCACGAAGATTCTTTACATACTGAGTAGGGACTCCTTCACTGTCAAGTATTTCAATGGCTTCGTCTATATCAATCGAGTCAGAGGTTTTCTTTAAACCAATGAAAGTGAGGCAGTGCGGTCTTCTGTACTTTCGCGGTACTTCAGTGAGTCTTGTTTTCTTGTGAATATGGCCCATCGTACTAAATCCTTTAGGATGACTCGAGCGAAAAGTTTGTAGGCGACGCAGATTGGGCGATAGTAGCAGATATCGTGAAGGTCACCCTTCTTGAACAATAACACTACCTTGCTGGTCTTCCACTGAGTAGGGGCCTTGCATTCGGGCAGGTAACGTGTGAAGAGCCGTGCCAGTGTGTTTACGAAGACTGGCGGAAGGTTTTTCAGGTGTTCTGGTCTTATCCTTTCCGGACCTGGTGCTGTTCAATTTTTCACCGACGAAATGACATGTCGGGTTTCGGAAGGGATAACCGGTGGTACAACATATCCTTCTTTATTTCATATAACGGAGGTGGACGTGGCTATCGAAGAGGTCCGAGTAGTATCCGTGAATGATTTTCTCCATTGCCTTTCAAGACGCTGTAACTGTTCCGTCTGGCGTCGGAATGCAATCATCTTGGTATTGCAATTGGCGATGCTTCGGTGGGCTTTGTGAATGTTTTTCCCAGCTTCTGCAGCTTCGAACATTACTGCTGCTCTTCTCTCTTTAAGATCTTCTTTTATCGCCTGTCTGTATTGTTTTGCGAATTCGGACGTCAGTTCGCGGTTGCCTGCAACTCGCGCGATTCAACGTTGGCCTAACAATTCGAGTGTTTCTGGAGACAAATGTCTCTTGGTGGCTTTCGAACTCTCAGCTTTCATAGCGCTAACGTGAAGATGTTGAATGAGCCGCTCGTAATGTTCGCGGATGTTGTCGACAACGCCATCTTCCCAACAGCCGGCTAACGAATTTGAATAAATCCCAGTTTACGGTGGCTCTGGGACTTCGATTTTGGAATTTAGCGGCTTTTTCTCCTTTTCGCGAGAAATGGAATCTTGCCCGAAGGAGATGATGGTCTGATTCCGCGCAGGATTTTGGAACAACAGCGACATCGGTTAGGTAAAACCTTCGGTTTACTATGATGTTGTCTACTTCGGTATGGTACTCTCCACTGGGAGACTCCCACGTCCAGCGTTTAAAGTGGAGTTTGTGGAATCGTGAGTTAGCACGAATGGTCTAGGTCGTTATGATAAGCTGAGAAAGCTGTTCACTCTCTTCGTTCTATTCTAATCCGTGGGCCCCAATGTTGCGTTTTTCAGACGTCCTTCTAGGCCCAATCTTGGTGTTAAAATCTCTACTAATGACCTTGAAGAACATATGCCTTTTCTGTAGAACTTCTCAAAGTGCATATAGACCATTTCGACTTCTTCGTCATGGTTTGATGTCGGCGCGTAAGCGACGATGGCTGTCAAAGCCGGAATTCATATACATCCTTTTAATCGTAGACGTCCGATTCGGGTTGTTAGTTGTTTGAATGAATCAATGTTGCCGACAAACTCGTGTTGACGAGACGCCGACGCAGCCGACTCCTCTATTGTAGCGTGTTCCGAGGAACAGTTCTTCTCCGATATCACAGACGGCGTTGAGTGGGTGCCGGCATCTCGTCTCGGCCAGGCCGATGACGTCATACCTTATCCTTCTTGCTTGCATGAGCAAGTCTTCTATAGAGGACTCGTATGCAAGTGTACGTGCACTGTAGGTACAAATCGTCGCCTTAGTTCTTTGAAATCCAGGCAGCTTCCATTGGCTCTGAGATTTTAGCGGCCTCTCTGTACTCTGTACAGCCTCGACTTAATGAAGGCGGCCGCGATGCCATACCTTTCTGTAGTTACCGGCTCACATGTTGCTACCTTCTCTGAGCAACAATAAACTCTCCGATCCACTAGAATAGCCTTCGGATTAAACTCACCACCATTACTTCTGGCTGGAACCGTCCACTTTTACCTTGATCAGTACAAGAAAGATGTGTACTTAGTGACAGAACTAGAGGCAGTTAGATGTCGACTACGTTATTTCAACCATCAACGATTCGGAAGAAGCATTAGAAGTCTATTTGAGCATAAAACAAATGTTCAATGACCTTATCATGAATCTTCGCGAATTCGTTTCGAATAACGCTTATCAGATGAATGCTCTCTATATCTGCATGCATCTTTCATGTACTTTCTACATTGCCAACTCGTTGCACGGTTAATGATTCACAAAAAGTGGTTCGTGTTTTCCTCGCAGCTGGCCCGTTCTGTGCTTATAAGCTCCTGGCGGGCTGATGCATGCAGGATGGCTGAGTATTGGTTACGCCCATAGCAAAGCCATTCACCTTCGTACAACGCTTAGAGATCACCATCTTCCTTCTATATCACTTTATGATCCTTGATCTTGTCCGCTTACCACTTCTTCGATTTGCATAGAGAAGAATAATATTAAATAAGCTTCACACTTTACATCGTCGAAATATTAAAGTTGTGGTCAATCATTTTGTAAGCGCTATACGTTATTTGAGGGAAGAATGGCTCTGCTATGGGAGTGACTCAGAACAGCTAAGTGGTCTTGATGATCATGGAAGTGTTTTGAACAACCACCTAAATGTGCTTTTGGCTAACTTTAACCACGATAGAGCAACATCATGGACTATGATAACACGGGAGATAAAAAAATGAATAGCGTGTCGGGGGCTACATTGCTCTTAAATACGGGATATCCTAATATCCAGTTAACTATGAAATTATTTAAACGTAGTTAAATTAGGATATGCTGATAGAATAACTAGTGTCTTGCTTTCGATTTAATGTTTCGTCGATTTTCTCACTCATCTAACTGCCACTGAAAAAAATTTGTGGTGATTGTAAAGTTCGTAATTCCTCTTCCACTCATTATCTGGAACTCCTTGGTCTTTGCTCAGAAAGAAAATTTTCTGTTTTTTTCGCTGTTTATTAATGTTAATTTCCTGTTTTCTTGATGAGCAATCAGGAGTTCGGTAATACAGTATTTATTAGCACACAATTTTTTTATTTGTTAAAAACAAAGGAACAAAAAAGTTTTGTTTCCATATTTCAAACCGCCTGTGATGAAGATGAAGACGTGGAAACGTTAGCCGAATAACTATCATTTATCAACCTCATGTAAGCTTATCAAAACAAAGAACACATAATTTTACCCGTCATCATGTCTACTGTGCGAATCCCAGCACTTCTCACATTCGAGTAGTTTCCTCGGACCCGTTGTCCACGAAGATATTCCAACTTTTACATGTGTCTTCAGCTACTGGTTGCGGATTTTCATTTTATCTTGAATGTCGTACAATGCTGATCGAGTCGATTTTCCTGGATACCTGCGTTGGCCGAGTTGAACGCGCTTCAAGTTGAATTGCAGAAAGTGATTTTTCCCTGACAAGCTCCAACGCGGTTGATTCAATTCGATGGTCTACAACTGTTCGTACTCTCAATGTGGTTCATTCGCCATCGTATTTAGTTAAATCTTCTTCAGCGGTTATTGAAATATTGTTGCACTCCATGCTATCTGATAATGACACCGACTTCTGCGGGATGAGTTGTCCAGAGAAAAACAAGTTGCTACCGCTGGATGAGTCATTACCAGCAGCAGCCATCCTATATAAAAGAAGATTGTCGAGTAAGGATGCTCCATTCGGGTGGTACTCCACTTCCGGCTCGATAGAACAGCGAAGACACCACATCGAGAGTAAGAAGCACAGTGAATCATCGATTCGAATCATTTGTCCTGAGGAAGACGAAGATGTCGGAACGTTGTTTATCAACCTCGTTTAAGCTTATCAATGAAAGAATGCACGATGAATAGTCACACTGAACTTAAAGGAAAGTAGGTTTTTGACCTAAATTTCTATTCGCACAACAAGCAGCTTTTTTTAACCACTCGCCGGTTCTTTCTTTATAAGTTCCAGTTCTTGTCGTGCACCACCCGTCTTTACATGAGCGAGAAATGTGTCTGGCTCAGGTTAAGGAATCATCTTCAGGTATGGCACTAGGCCACGCGTGATCACAGGGCGCTCTCCTTTGAGGTTCATTTTTGGATTTTTGAAATCTATCCAAAACGATTCAAGAGTTTTACCAGCTGATGTTTTAGATTTCTGTGCGTGGGTAGTGACTTTTGCTTCGGGATAATTCTCGTTGTGTTTCTGTGCCCTTGCGCATACAGTATGGTATTTCGTTTCAATTTAATTTTACCGTCTAGGTGTTCTTTTATAAGGGCACAGCGTGTTCTACCCTTTTCGCCGACGTGTTCGCCCTTCACGTTCTAACAGAGATTAGGTACACCGCACCAGAACTCATGCAGTCACAATCCATACCGTTAGGGTTAGGATATATTATGTAATTTTGCGTTTTGCACAGATGGTCGAATATTCGGTTACGAACTAACTACCGTCTTAGAATATTGGATGATATTTCAATCACTGTTACCGAATTCTCTAGATAGACCTTTCTTAAGAAACGTTTTATAGCTGCACTTATTCTTTCGGAAATAAAGCACAGGATAAACGGGATCTTAATATCGCTAGAATTATGATTTGAGGCGTTGCCTTTTTCTACACCTCTTCTGATGAGCTGCAGTTTCGTAGCCATTCGAAGTGGCTATTTGCTGTGCCAATTTCATGGATTATTCCTTCAGTTGTCCGAACTAGGTAAGCAATGATGCCTCCTCGAAACATGTTACAGGTCTCCTCTTGGTGTATGATGGTTGGGAGGAGAGGTAATGAACCAGCATATTTTTGTTAATTGGCTTTCGGCACCATTTCGCAATAACGTAGCTGTTTTCGCAGAGATCAATTTGAACGTTCAGAAATGCAATCTTGTTTTTCTTTGGTTTCGCTCGGGTGAATTTTATGTACTAAAACTGTTCGTTCAATAATTCAAAACATTTTTCCGTCATCTCGTGTGTGGAACAAATGTATCTATGGCAGAGTAATGGGCTGGGGACGATTGCTGGTGCCTCTACCTTAGACATAAAGGCAATGGCAAGGCTTTGGGCCCGTTGATATCTCATTGCCAACTCTCTAATTTGTGCGTGTTACCTCACGGGCTATCTCAATATTGAGCAGTTTCGCCGCTCCTTTAAGAGGTTCATGAGCCGCTGAATCGAAGAGCAATGCAAGTTTATTAGTTCTTCTCGTTCCACAAGAAGCTCGCAGATCGTTTGCATTGCAGAGTCACTCGACACGTCACTATAAGGGGCGGTTACGTCGAAGGACTCATGTGCGCTCTGTTAGAACGTGCGTTACACAGATGATGCAGGAACACTTGGGTATTCATGATCTGTGTTGTTATGCACTTCAGGAACTGCATGAGAATTAGGTTATAAAACATGCTATTCTATCGGTGGGCCCCCTCTACACAACAACTAATGATAGGTTTAACCTTGAACGTTGGCAGGTCAGTAGGCGCCAGATCCTCGGTGGATGCTAATTTTTGTGTTTTGATTAGTAAGTGTGAGAAGAGGCATGTTGGTAATTCAATTTTAAGTTGCGAAATAACTAATGGTCTTAAACCTGCCGAGCTTAGTTCTTTGACCAATCCGTTGTTCAATTTTCGATATTGATCTTATTGATATCGAATATTAAATTTCTTCTCTTCCTTCAATATTTTTCTCTTCCTTTTTGTCTCTGAACACGTCTTTTATAGCATGCATAAAACTTGTGCATAGTTTCATCTGCTGAGGTTATGAAAGTGTTTGGCTGAGTAGATTGCATGTTAATTTGACCTTTCCAAGCTCAGGAGAAGGCGAATCCTCGTCAGGTAATAAATGCTGTAATAACAACCTCATCAGGAAAAACAGTGAATTACCGACGAATGTCGAGGATAAAGGAGCGTCGGCATTGGAATTAACTATTCTTCAGACTGTCATCAATAATCAAGCATACAAAACTTTATTAAGTGTACAAACGTACGCACAAAATACAATTTTCTGTATTATATACAATTTGTTAAAGAATTTGACACCGTTTATCGAGAAATACCAGTAATTTTGATATGTTCTACATCAGCCACATCACCGAATTTTCATCCCAAGGTCAACGAGGGATAACGGAGACGAAGAGGAACAACAAATCGTTTTAACGACATTCTAACAAGAATGAATAACTTAGCAAATTAGCATTAGTAGGCAGCGACCATGTACATGTAAATAACATATCATAATAACGCTACTATAGCTCTCTAATGCTGTTAGGATAACTGTGTACCAACAACGTATCGGGCTCGACTTGTCATCTACGGAGGCGCAAGTGACTAACAATTACTCTAACAACGATGCCTCCTTAGTCGCAATTAGCCTCTTCTCTGACATTAATACGTCTGAGGCAACGTAATGTTCGCTTCTATAAAACAGCTGAAGCGGCAAGAAATGCATCATTTTCTGTAGAACGCCGGAAAACAAACAAGAATTAACGGATGTAAGGGCCGCGTACGATTCATTTTCAACTATGATAAAAAGTGTGTACAGTGACCCAGTTAGATGAACAAAAAAGAAGTATGCGAAGGCTCATATCATGATGAATGACGTATGATGACGCCAGGCGACAACAATTTACGGAAGCCGAAATAATAGTGCTGGTTCACTGTCTTGAGGTGGATCTCCGAGTCGTCGATAGAGATCGATTCTATTCTGAGCGGTCATTGAAGTGTTCACAAATAGTGGTCGATCAATTGGCACTCGATCTGAATACTATACATTAGCATACCATTTATCATATAATACTATTTTAGAACAATTCTTCGAAATGTCTAATTACTACTTAGTGCCTATTCTTTTTTCATGGAAAGGTATTATGTGAAACGAGGGTGGTGAGATATGAACAATACTCGGAACTTTAGGTACGGTTCGAACCCGTGATTCCCTTTCTACGGGTTCATGTCCCATCCGCCACATAAGCAGTTGCCGATAGTACTGTTTGAGCAAAAAACTGGATGAGAGAAATGCAAAGCAAGAGCATCGGTTGGTGCAGCGGATAGCGTGTGAGCCACGGAAAGGGTGGAGTCGAGGCTTGGAGGCCCAGCTGAGTTTCCTAGTTAATCTTATATCGCAACATCTTCATCCTTTCATGAAAAACAGTCAACACATCGCAGAGGTTCTCGGTATTGCAAATATAAGTAGAAAATTGTTTGGTACGAAAATCAAAGAGTGGTGCTTCTAATTCGTTTCGACAAAGTATTTGAAATGTTGTTTGGAATGATTGAATGTTTGACTATTTCACCTGTCTACAATGATTGCATGGAAACATCGAGATAGACTGCCATAAAAAACAATTACCAAGATGGAAATGATGATATAGAGAGAATTCAATTCAGCGTACACGAAAATGTATTTCATGTAAAATGTAAACCGAATTTCATTTAACCTCGGTATGAATGACCAATATACCTCCTTTCACTGCACCAGGTTGTTACTAAACATTCATTCGACTAACGCTTCGATGTTCTCGTCTTCGTCAGAGCCAATGATCCGAGTAGATGATCAAGCGTCGTCCGTCGTCTCGATGTGGTGTCTTCGATGTCGAATCGACTCTCATTTTCAGTGGAGCACGCTCGAATGAGGCAACCTAACTCGGCGATGCTCTTCATGCAGGACAGTTGTTGACGATACTGATTGCCCATCGACAGCAAATTGTTCTTCTGGCACTTTCTTCATATTGTGCCTATTTCATTTTCGTTTGCATTCTTACTTAACTTATTTGTATAATATGCATACTACGTCTCTCATTTACGTTGGAATGACGTTACTCTATTATATTATATGGTAGGTGATGATGATATTCATCACTTCTCACTTTATTATTTATTACTTAACTGACAGTCACTTCATTCGGTTTAAAAATTATTTTTATGCTATTCACCATATGCTACAGAAAATATTACCGACTGCTGCAGTATGGATTATCCATTGAAAAAAAATTATTATCAAAGAATAACTTTATCAACAACAAACATCCTGTATAAAATAGGGCAGCCGAGTGAAATTGCCCTATTCGAAAGGTGTTCCTCTGATGAAGACCCATCTCGGTACGACGACCAAGGCGCCACATAGAGAAGACGGAACAACTGTGCACCAACGACTCAGATCATCGGCTCTGACAAGGAAGAAGACGTCGAAACATTAGCCGAATAAATCTATTTATCAGCTTTGTGTTAACTCAACAATTCAGGAAGGTGGTCAATTCGTTCTTAAAAACGATGATCAAAGATGACAGTGATTGATGATTCAATTGAAATTTGGTGTAGAACAATTTTCACGAAGTGCTCCATTAGTTCGACTGATAGAATGTGTAGTATACCTTGCGATATATATATATATATATATATATATATATATATATATATATGTATATATATACATCTATATACATATATATAATGTAATTCCATATGCACATATCTACTTATTATATATATACATATATATATGTATATGTATACGTACATCTATATATATGTGTGTATATGCATATATATGTTATTATTTATAAAATTTCCTTTTTCGTTATACAAATAGTGGATCTTCACGATAAAAATGTTTCTTCCCATGAAAATTTAAAATGGCCTTTCAATTCTTCCTCCTAGAAAAGCAGTACTACCGAAGGGTCTCACTATGTACGAATCCCTCATAGCAATTTTTTTGTGGTATTTTCGACTACCACTGACTTATAACATGCAAGATTTCTATACGCGACTATTGCTTTCTCTGATTTTATGCCTTCTAAAAAATTTTCCGCTTCCTTGGAAAGAACGATGGGAAGAAGAAAGCCGAGTTTTCACACCTTGAGTGTGAGGGTGGTAATAAGCGACGCTCAGCTGCTTTGTAGGCAATGTGGTGATCGAACAAATGTCCAATGGTTGTTCTTTGCTTTCCATATCTCTCACACTTACTTCTCGTTCATTGAAAACAACAAAATAATTGCGTTCTTACCACTCGCAGGCGTTTTTGATTCGATCAACGAATGTCACGGGAGCTTCGGTGGGAAATGAGATGCGTTTCAATGACGGATGGGTGGGTGAATGGGCAGATTGCAGAGCGAATGGTCATCTACTTAACGCTACTTTTTTCAGCAGAAAGAAAATGATGCCTTAGTGGTGATTACTGCGATCATTACTGAGCTATTAAACGCCGTTACTTTAACTTAAGAAATTGCATAAAATACAGTTAGGAAGACAAAATATTTTGGAACAAACCTGAAAAACAGGAAACCACTTTTCTACAAGATCAAGGTCTGAAAATAGGGAAATTGTTGAGGCCTGGTGAAACATCTAGACATCGATTCAAATTAATTCGTTGGACTCAAAAAGCCACTTCTGGCCCATTAAGAAAAACTGAAGCATTGGTGGTGATTTAATTATGTCAGCTAATTTCTTTAAATATTCTGTCGTAACTGTAAACGGAGTATGAAAGGCAGTGGTTAGAGGCGCCTTCTACTACACACTGGATCTGTAATTGGTACAATACCATGTTCCGAGCTCACCAAGTGCTCCATAGGCCCGGGTTCGAAGAAATGGTACCATCCTCGTCTGGAAGGATAGCAGCACTAACGTGATACATCGGTAGACTACCGCAAGTAATTGTGTTGCCCAGATATCCATTTAATCAACTTTAACGGTGCTCAGTGAAGTAGAATGCATTGTGCATCCTTCATGGCTTAATTTTTGCCAAGAGCTTTATCATCTATTCTTTATTCCGCCATAAATTTCAGCACCACAGACGAACATTTTTCACTAACTTAATATATCAATATATCAGAAAACAGAAAACATCAACTAGCCAGTTTCTAAGAAATCTGTAGAGAAATCTTAAACAAACAACTAAACCCGCGCAGTTTTGTGTCGTGTATTTCATTGCTGTTTATTGTTTTATGTAGGCGTAAAAGAACTTAAGCAGTGATTATGTTGATTAAATACCGACTGTGTTGAACGAAAACGTCTAAAAAAGCATAGAAGGAAGAAAATCGATAATACTAACCCTGACCATTTTGCAAATATGAGGACATGTTCGACTCGACGTTAGGGATGTTCTAAATAAAATTTGGTTAGGAGCATATCATATTTATCAGTATCCCTGGTTGAACTTTGCTCTTTAAGCATTTTTCTTCTTTGCTTTGTTGCAAACGGCAATTAAGAAAAAGTGTTGGTAAGTATATTCAGTTATGGATTTAACTTCTAAACAGCGTTAATCATTAAGCTAAGATCCCGACTTCTGCGCTCATTGAAAAATTGATGATATCGCTGTTGAATGACCATAAATGAATCTTACTTCACTACGTTGAATATTCATAGATGTATTGTTGCCTAGTGGCTGCATGGTACCTCGAAGCACTTCGGCTGATGACATTTCGGAATCTAAAAAGAGTGACTACAGAGATAAATAACTCATAGTTCTACTAATTCAATCAGAAACCAACGAAGCTCACGTGGTTATTCTATTCTTTATTCTACGCGGAAAACTGTTACTCCCACGACCGACTTCCTATTAACCTCGCTATTGATAGAGTAATTCTTTCCACTTCTGTTTTGCAAACACGAGGTGTTATTTCATTTCTTTATTTACGCACAAGCTGACTTTTCGGCGGATTTCGCCTTTCTCAGAGCATGGAAAGATCAAATTGACTGCCATCTACCTGGCCAAACACCTCCATAAGCAAACAGAGAAATTGCTGAACCAAAATTTCAATCACATTGAACACAGAATAGCTTCATCGCGTACTCACCGCTTTCTATGAGTATCCACTGAATATGTCACGTGGAGACCAACCGCACATACTTTGCATTTAAGCGTAATGTGCCCCTCTCATCAGAACAACAGATTTATATACTGCCCTATGTCACGCGTGAAAATGAGGCATTCTTTCCTGCGGTTCATTTTCGGATATCTGGAATTAATCCAGAACGCCTCGAGAGTTTTGCGCGCGTGTGTTCTCGATTTCTGTGCGAGGATCGTGACACGTGCTTCAAAGTCCTCCCTGTTATGTTTCTGGGTCCTATGCGTGCCTCGTGGAGTATTTAGTTTACGTTTACCGGCTAGATGTTCTTTTATGCGACACAGAGGGGTCTGGCCGTTGCGCCATTGTGTTCGTCTCCGCATGCCTTACAGTAGATAAGATAAACTGTACCCAAGCTCATGTAATCACCGTCCCTTCCATTAGAGCAAATTATGCAATTTTATCTNAATTTGGTTAGGAGCATATCATATTTATCAGTATCCCTGGTTGAACTTTGCTCTTTAAGCATTTTTCTTCTTTGCTTTGTTGCAAACGGCAATTAAGAAAAAGTGTTGGTAAGTATATTCAGTTATGGATTTAACTTCTAAACAGCGTTAATCATTAAGCTAAGATCCCGACTTCTGCGCTCATTGAAAAATTGATGATATCGCTGTTGAATGACCATAAATGAATCTTACTTCACTACGTTGAATATTCATAGATGTATTGTTGCCTAGTGGCTGCATGGTACCTCGAAGCACTTCGGCTGATGACATTTCGGAATCTAAAAAGAGTGACTACAGAGATAAATAACTCATAGTTCTACTAATTCAATCAGAAACCAACGAAGCTCACGTGGTTATTCTATTTACGCGGTGAATACACAGACGTTATACCGTGATTTTACTTTTGAATGTTTTCAAGGACATATCTGTTATGATCAGGATCAAACACTATGAAAAAAGCGAAATCAATGAGAATCGAATGAATGATATTGGATACCTTCCTTTAAAAAAATGTGAGCCGAATTTAATGCTTACCAAAGAGATATAGTTCGTGTGGAATTGTCACTGCGGACATTTTCACGAAACAATGTATTCACCAGGTGCTTATTATTGCAAAGTTCATCACTGTGATTTCCAATACGTATAAGAGTAAGGAGCTCAAAGAACTGCCGTTGATTCGGCGGCGAAGAATGCATATGATACTATGAAGC